CAAACATGGGGGAGAAGGGAAAGCCTTCCCTAGAAGGAAGGCTCTTTAGGGCTTAGTTACTACATTAAAAAGCCACTGAGGGGCTCTCCCTGGTGGCGCAGCGGGTTAAAGCACAGCACTAAGAAGCTAAAGCCACTTCAGCAAGAATTTGATCCCCGCCCCAGAGGCAATCCACACGGCATGGCAGACCTCTCTTGACCCACCCACTGCTCCCCTCAGCAGTGTACAGTCGGCTTTTCCTGCTCGCCACTGCCTCTGGTGAATCTTCTCACCACCCCTGCACCTCTGACCTGTATCCCAGTTCTGTATGCATAAATAAATAAAACTTAAAAAAAAAAAGCCCCTAGGACAGGATTGAAGACATATATATCTGCCCTCTTTACATTGGGTCTTGGCAGAGCTCACCTACCAATGCAATTCTGGGTAGATGCCAGACACCTGGACTGACTGGGGGAAGTGGAAATGAAAGAATTCAGCACAGGGTAAGTACAGTGACGCTTTTCTAGATGATTTCTTCCAGTTGTGCTAAGTTCACAAGATAAGGATTCTGAACCGTTGACATAAACTGACTAGTATCAAGGGGAGGTCAAAATGAAGATTTTTCTCCTAGGCTCATTCAATTAAAGTTATTCTTCACTCTTTGGCTTAAGTACTGAGTTTTGGAAATAAAATTATAATTTTCACTTGAGTTTTTGCTTTAGGATCTAGGGACAGCTTATCTCCTAAATTTTGTGGTTGTGGCATTGCAGTGTTCTTGTGTCTTACGAACTGTGGACTTTTCAACACCAAGTGGAGGGAAGGTTTTGCCTCAGAATCATAGTCTTTGAAGGTTTGCAAGAACAAACTCCTTCCAACCCAGTCTGCGGCTGGGAAAGGACTGCACCTGTGCTCAGGCTTTGAGACACTCTGACCTAGGTAGGTCCTACTAAAATAGGACTGATGGTTTTGGGGCTTTAACTTAAAAAACTTTGGACTTTATCTTTTATGTCTCATGTCTTTGGAATTTAATTTGCAGTGAAATTTGAACTTCAATTTTGGAGTTTGATAAAAGTATTTTGTTTTTTTTTTGATTGTTCAAATTAGCAGCACTTCTTTATTATGGACACTTTGTCACGGTGATTTTTAAAATTGTCGTTATTAACATTTTATTAGAACTCAAATACAAACATTTCACCTTTAACTTGAACCCCTTTCAGGTGATGGATTTGTCTCTGATGTAACTCGTTGATGGAGTCTTGGGATTCTGGTTGTCGAAAGAATGAACTACACAAAATTATTATTCAAACTAATAATGCTCATGAGTCATAGTAAAATAACATGATCCCCACGAACACATGGCAAATTATATTTCTTAAACCCGCACTTAATCCCACTGCCACACTCCGAGAGCTATGCTTGGTAACATGGCTGGTTGAGACAGGGAGTGGGGTGGGAAGTGAATTTCCATGCTTGGTGCAGAATATATTTAATGGTGATGTATTATTCAAATTCATCTTGGAGGCGTCTGGGGCTGGCTGTGCTGGAGAACACAAAAGAGAAGTGTGCTTGGCACTGGGTGAATGGACTGATCAGATTCCTGTTTTCTTCTTCCCAGTACACGACCACATCCCAGGCTGCTGATAAACCCAATGGGCAAGTCTAACAGGTTAAAGATGGAAAAGCCGTGGGAAAGTTGGGGGCGGGATGTTTCTACTACTCCTGGTAGATCTTTCCTGATGGAGAGAACTCTAGGACATGACTTCTGGCCACACTCTCCATTGCACATCTCCCTTTGCTCTGGGACGTTGGAGTAATGGATCTAACCCATCAAGGTGGTCCCCCTTCCTCTCGGAGTGAGCAGTCTACCCCGAGCTTGTGCTGTCTTTGGGGAGTACCCCAGGGCATGGCATTGCTCGTGTCCAGAAGAGCAATTGTGCGGTCGAGGTGGTCCCTGCTTGGCTTTTCCATTGGGTGACCCTCTATCTTAGCCTCTGTTGCTGTTAAAGATATTTTGACCTTCATTGTTGCTTTTGTTTCATTTTTCAATTTCTCCAGAACTTGGACTAGGGAAAGAGATGGTATTATTCAGCTCCCATAGAGACCCTTACATGATGAGTAAAATAGTTATGATTCTGCACAATACCAGCGATTATTTTGGGAAATGTCCTATTCAGACTTATATACATGTATGGTAGTTACATTTTAGAGGAACAGGTAAGTATCTTACTTCTGGTTTGTCTAGCAGCATAATCACATCAGCTGGGTTTGGAGGACCCCAACAGTGATAAGACTGAGCAGATTATGTAACATGTCCCCCACCCCCACCCCACGGCTGTCACTGTAAGAGATTTGGGTTGAATAATTGCTGAACTGGTGAAGGAGGCAGGGCCCCAAAATTCAGGTATATGTGTGATGTGTTGTCTCCTTGAGATTTAAAGGACAAAATAAAAGACTTTATGTTAGTGGCAAAATAGAAGAAGAGAAAAGAAAATATACGTGAAGGTAGGAGTCGCTAACTTTTCTGGTGAGTGTCGCAATTCAGGAGGAAAAGGAGAAGGAGCTCTGGACAGCTTGGTAAGACGCTTTCTCTTCTCTCTTTTTTTTTTTTTTTGCTTTATACTGATGCATGCTCTGAAGCATGCTTCATTGCTGCCATCATTATTAATGGTGTTTGGAGATGAAATGATTGCTGCTAATTTAGTAATGGGTTTCTGAGTGCCAGATATATGTTAAATGCTTAGCATACATCATATTATTTAATCACGGCCCACACAGCATTGACAATACTGCATTTGAAGTAGGTAATATTATTAATATTATTCCAATTTTATACATGATGAAGCTGAACTTCAGAGAGGTTAAGTAACTTTTCAAAGGCCACACAGCTAGAAGTAACTGGTCAATGATCTGAATTCACTTTGGCTTATTCATTTCACCATTACTCCAGTACTCACTCAGCTCACAGCTTATTTTTTTTTTTAAATTTATTTACTTATGCATACAGAACTGGGGTACAGGCCAGAGGTGCAGGGGTGGTGAGAGGCTTCACCAGAGACAGAGTGGGGAGCAGAACAGGCAGATCAATGAAGTACACTGCTGAGGGGAGCAGCGGGTGGGTCAGGAGAGGTCTGCTGTGCCATTTGGCTCACCTCTGGGGCTGGGGATGGAACTCATGCTGAAGTGGCTTTAGCTTCTTAGTTCTGTGCTTTAACCTGCTGCACCACCAGGGAGGGCCCTCAGCTCATGTTTTACCAGCCATTGATCTTAGTTACAAGAAACAGAAACTGACTCTGGTGGGTTTTACCAGGAGAGGGATTACTTTTGTAGCCACACTCTCCCTGGGGGTTCCCATATTCCCTGCTTCTTGGTGACATCACTTCTCTGGATTTAAAACTCAGGCAGATGCCTCTGAGGAGTGTGTGGACCAGCTCCGGAGCAGCTGGAGAGGTGGGGGCCAGCGCTTCCTGCAGCTGCACCTTCTCCCTTGGGAGGTGGCCTCTGTTCCCAAGACTCACATGTCAAGGAACTTCCCCAAATGTGTCCAGATGTTCCAGTATGTCTAATGGTCCTAGTACATGTGTACATGGGTAGCTGTACTGTGTGGACGACACTGAGACACATGGTGGAGAATATGAGGATGAGTCAGATCCAGACGCCACCTTTAGAGAGCCTAAGTCTCAAGTCTGTGTTCCTTTTAACTTGTGTATTTATTTGTAACCAGAGTTTGCAAAGTTCCTTCTCATCGTTTCATTAGGTCCTCCCCAGAGCCATGGAAAATTGGCAGAACTGAATTATCTCTATTTATACTTGAAGAAGCTTGGGGGATGAGCCCAGGGGGTCACTGGTGAGTGACTGAGCTAGGACTTGGGGCTCCTGAGTCTCGGCTGAATACTGAGCCAACCAGATGTAAGATGTGTGCACAGACACCAAACCTCATGGATTCAGAGGTGCTTGGTTTCTCCCCACATTAGCACCTCTGGAATCACACTGCATCTTACAATCTGTGGTATATCCTAGTTTAATCAGCAGCTTTTAAAGTACTGGTTATATATAAACTAAGGAAACCTCTTCAAAACAGGAGAGGCTTAAAGAGAGCTGGAGGTCAAGGATGGTTTTTTGGAGGTGCACAGATCCATGGTCCCTAGTCTACAATTCAAAATTCCCAAAGGCCTCTGAGAAGAGTTTTATTTTTTTTTCAAGTTTGCTACCAAAACTCTTGCCTGCAAAACCTGACCTGAACTGATATGAAGTAATGTATAATTATAATTATGTGTAATTATAACTCTGAGTAATTTATAAATAGAATATAGCTCAATTATCATTTTAGTTGTTCTACTTATGGTGCTGATCAATGTTTAGCTGCAGAAATGCTAGTGTTTGCTAATGGAGTGTTAGCTCAGCTCCTCAAGGGGGTGGGATTACTTACAGATTGGGTCCATGTATTTTCCTCATCTTTTCAAACACATCTGCCTGTAAGGGTTATGGATAGGGACTCTGGGTTGTATGTAGACAGGGTTAGATGGCTGGCAGAACTGAAATGTTTGGAGAGGTCAAAGGATTCTAGCATGAGGAAAAAGCTTCAGCCTACACTAGTTCGTCTGGTCTTCATCACTACTTGACCTTGACATTTACTTTCAGGTGACCTGCCTTCCTCCATGATTCATTCAGATGAAGGGTTGAACTTTCTGGGTTTCGCTCCCCTCCACCCCCCACAGTCCTAATCCCCTCCTTTTCCTTCATATCACCTGACTTCTCTGAAAACTGGAACACGCCCTTTGGCTGGAAAAGAGCATTAGGCAATCTGTGAAATTCCTCATTTCTCCTTTTCCCCTGCGTTGTCCTGGATGGAGGAATCCTTAGCCTGAGAGAAGCAAACAGTTCTTGTTTCAAAAGCAGGGGGAGCTCCAAGATCAAGGCTGATTACTCTTTCCCTGTGTCATGGTCGCCCAGCCCCCCCTCTTTGTTTAGACCAGGGAATTTCAGACCAGCACCCCGGGGTAGAGAATCAGATGAGCAGAACCGAGGCAGGGAGGCCGCTGGAGGTTCCTGCCGAGGGAGCGAGGGAGCGTCTAGGCCCAGTGCCGCTCTCCCTGGGAGGCTCCAGGGTTGCCCAGCATGCCTGCTGGCAGGACAGAGGGGACTGACCCACTTGTTCCCATCAGCTGCTGAAGGTAAAAAACTTAAAAACAAAGAGCAGAGCTTTGATGGAGGCAGCAAACCCCCCTGCAGGCAGGGGCTGGGCAAAGATGGAGGGGCTGTGAGAGCAGAGCACAGAGGAGACTGACTGGAGATGACCTGTTTCTCTTAGGGTGCCCTGTCCACCTTCGCGCACCCCACTACCTCCACTGCTTCCAGGGTTAGAAGCAAATCTGGCAAGACTTTTTAAGGAACTGTGGGAAGAGATCTTATCCTTTAAGTAGTTGGGAATTAATTTATACAAAATTGGGAATTTTGTATTAACAGGGAATTGAGGGCCCACCTTCCCCTTCCTTTGATGTTTCTTGCCATTCAGCTGCCCCCTTTCTCCTTCCCAACTCTGTCCTGTCTCAGGCCTTTTCTTCCAAGATCACTGCAATTCATTAGTGCAACAAGCTCATTCCTCCGTCACTGTTCTTCAGGAGCGCCAATGGAAATACATGCAGTGATAATTAAGGGAGAGGGTTTGAAGTGTTGTGGGGGGCATTGTCTAAAAAAGAAGGAGAAATCTCTTAGAGGGACAGTTACCAGAGGGCAAGACGCCTGGAAATCTGAGTGGATATGGTAACACAATTCTGTGGGGCAGGAGACAGACTGACAGGGTGAGGATGGGGGTGTGGTGGGAGTGAGGGAAGAGAACAGGGAGGGGTAAAAAAAAAAAAACCAACAACTGGGAGAGGTGGATTTCACCTTAGTCTACAAAATTAATGGCAGTAGAAACAGGGTGGGTGGGAGAGGAGAGGTGTCAGGAGGTGATGATTCACTGTATGGCTCTATTTAACTTGTGCTATTCTTATGAAGGTGACACTGAGCCCCCGGTGACCCCTTCCCAGCAAAGCAGGTGCCTATGTTTGCTAGACAAACTTAGCCCCAAAGTCCACAGGTGCAGAGAGCCAGGACCAAGAGACGCGTTGTCCGCCAGGAATGGACAGATTGCCAGAGATGTGGTGAGTGACCAAGACTGTTGAGATGGGCAAGTGCACCTCCCCCTCCCTGTCCTCAAGAAAATGGCTCATATCGGAAGACTGGTTTTGCTCTGTTCTGACCTAAGATTCTCCTTCACCTGCTGGGCCTGCCCTTCCCCTCCCCCCTTCCTCCTGCTGCCGGTCAATGCCACAGTTCTGCCGTCTCCTGCCAGTGTTGGGCCACCCACTGCTCCACTTGCTCTTTTTTCCAGGTGTGTTGTTCTGTTATCCCTGTTGGCGTGGGCTTATGCTGACCCCACCATGTATGGGGAGATCCTGTCTCCCAACTATCCTCAGGCATACCCCAATGAGGTAGAGAAAACATGGGACATAGAAGTTCCCAAAGGGCATGGGATCCATCTCTACTTCACCCATCTGGACATAGAGCTGTCTGAGGACTGCGCATATGACTCGGTGCAGGTACCTTCTAAGAGGCCCTCAGAGGGGAGCGGTGGAGGACCAGGGCTGGGTGGTGGCATGAGAAGGACAGCGGAGCACACAGTGAACTGGAATCAAGGGTTCCTAAAGCTCTCTGACCTCCATCCCAAACTAGGACCTTTCTCCTAGCTTCATTTTGATTCTTCCCTTAGATAAAATCAGAAGGCCATATAGAAGGGAACCTCTGTGGACAGAGGGCCAGCAAGAATCCTGACTCCCCAGTTGTGGAAGAGTTCCAAATCCTGTCCAACAAACTCCAGGTCGTCTTTAAGTCAGACTTCTCCAATGAAGAGCGTTTCACTGGCTTTGCTGCATACTATGTGGCAGTTGGTAAGTCTCGCCCTTCTCTATGCGATGAGTGACCTAACTAAAAGAAGGTGACACTGAGCCCCCGGTGACCAATGAACAATGAGCGATGCAGTGACCAAGGAGTCCGTTGATGATGGAGTTCTGACTTGGCTAGGGTCCCTCCATGAATGCTGTTTTGATTGCCAAACACATGATCGTATCTTAGTATGATAGTGATAATAGCTATATAGAAAATAATAAAGAGTAATGAGAACTACTATGTACTGGGCACTGTCTTAGGAATTTTCCCAATGTTCAGGTAGTCTTCATCTCAGCTGTCAAGTAGGTTGTGTTATTTCCATATAAAGATAAGGAAAGTGAGGACTAAGCAAGTTAAATAACTTGGGATTAGGGGCCATCACACATATCATAGAAGGACTGTAAGATATACAAATCCATTCAGTAGATGGCAAACAGACTTTCAGATTCTGTGTTTCTACACCTTATCTCTAAGTGAAAATGAAGGTAGAACATCTCATAAAGCCAATTTGTTGTTTAGATGCGGCAGCATCTAACATTACATTAAGCCAATAAATATACTACTTGTCCTCCCTGCAGAAAACATGCCATGTTTAGCTTGCTAGGTGTTGTGTCACGAGCTGAAATGCTTGGCAAATGAGAGAGGTCAGGGGTCCTTGGCAGTGAGAGGCCCCTTATTGCTGTGCAATGATAAGGCATGGATCTGGTATTATATTTCAGGAGTATCATATAGAATAATACCAACCCGAAAGGTAACTCATTGAAGGTCTTTGAATAACATGTCTTTCCAGTGTTTTTTTTGCCTTGGTAGTTTTAGATTTAGCTGCACTCTTCCTCTAGGTCTTTGTCCTTGACCTCCAACCTTTCCCCGCTCTTTGCAGATATAAACGAGTGCACAGACTTTGCAGATGTCCCTTGTAGCCACTTCTGCAATAACTTCATTGGTGGTTTCTTCTGCTCCTGCCCTCCAGAATACTTTCTCCATGATGATATGAGGAATTGTGGAGGTGAGCTTGACATCAGTGGGGTGCATATTCCCCGGGAGTTGGAGTAGCTTGAAGCTTCGGTTAGGGTGTTGTCTACCCTTCCAAATGATTAGCCTCAGCCTTGATTTGGCATCTATTCTTAGTATCCATAAACTGAGGGGACTCTACTAGGTGGAGGAAGATAAGGCTACAGGATTAAGTTAATTAACTGGAGAAGAAAGATGTCTATGAAAAGTCTGCCTGTGACTGTTCATACCCAGGAAAGGTTCTTTCATAAACAGGGTGATGGAGACCCCACAGGCCTTGGCAGAGTGCGTGTGTGATCCTTGCATGTCTCCAGTCAGCGAGGGCCCGTTCCTAGGAGGAATTGTAGGCGAGGGTGGGGAATCCTTTGCTTGATCTTGTATTTGACTCCTCTTTTTTCTTTTTCTCCCTTAGTCAATTGCAGTGGGGATGTATTCACTGAAATGATTGGGGAGATCACAAGTCCCAATTATCCCAATACATACCCAGAGAACTCAAGGTGTGAATATCAGATCCTGTTGGAGGAGGGGTTCCGAGTGGTGTTGACTGTGCGGGAAGAAGACTTCGATGTGGAGCCAGCGAATTCAGAGGGCCACTGTCCTGACAGTTTGATTGTGTGTGGTGGTTGATTAATTTTCCTTCAACTTACACAGAAAGATTTCTCCTTAAAGACAAATTACCTTTATGCTCTTTTTATTTTTTTTGGGGGGGGAGGGGGGTTCCTCCTTATTTTGTGTTAATTTTGTTGCCTTCCTTACTTTTCTCCTCCATTTTGCATCATTGTTTTAGTTTTTTCTTTCTTTTCTTTTTCAGTTTGTTGCAGGAAACAAGCAGTTTGGTCCTTACTGTGGTAATCGATTCCCTGGACCACTAAAAATTGAAACCAACAGTAATGCTGTCAATGTCATCTTCCAAACTGACAAGACAGGGCAAAAAAAGGGCTGGAAACTTCGTTACTATGGTGATCGTGAGTAACCTAGAAGTTTCACTTCGGTTGGGCCCTGGGTACCAATATAAGATCAAACAGGTAGATTGTAGTATGGATAGGTAAACTGAGATAGCCCACTTTCTCGCAAGAGCTGAACTTGTCAACAGTTGCTAGAAATGCCTGTGAGTGCAGACACCTTGAGAGTGGTTTGTTGGCAATGCTATTATTTTATTTTAAACATCTTCATATTGGATGACAGAATAATTTTAGAAAGTGTGATGTAAGTACAATAGAGGTTCTCCAGCTATTTGGTAAAACATTTTTTTTTTCCTATTCTTTCCAAGCAATTCCTTGTCCGAAGAAAGTCGATGCCAATTCAGTTTGGGAGCCAGAAAAAGAAAAGTACGTGTTCAAAGATGTGGTGAAGATAGCCTGTCTGGATGGGTTCGAAGTTGTAGAGGTAAAATACTGTTGGGGTTTCTTGTAATCCTTAGGCTAGTAAGAGCTAATTGGAGGTGTCCAATCACTACCAGATTTCTTGTTTGAGCAAGATAAAACACTGCTTCCATAAACAGAACAGCTCAACATCTTTCTTATGAGTCACAGAACTCTGTGGTCAGCTTGGCATTTTTTTTTTAAGATTTATTTTATTTATTTATGCATACAAGAACTGGGGTACAGGCCAGAGGTGCAGGGAGTGAGAGGATTTACCAGAAACAGAGTGGGGAGCAGAACAGGCCAACCTACTGAAATACACTGCTGAGGGGAGCAGCAGCAGATGAGACAGGAGCAGTGCCATTGTGGGTCAGCTCCCTGGCCTGGAATTGATTCATTAGCAGAGGCTGGTGAGATCTTGATAGTGCAGACACTTCAACCAGCAGGGAGGACCCAATGGTGTTCTTTTTCTGTTTTTAGTCTTCTTGGGGAAGGGGAGCTGATACATGGGGACTAAGTTGTTGTTTAACCCCAGCTCATGGGTGATTTCTGCCATTCTGCTATGAGGTCCCCAAACTTCTTGTGGTGAGGGCTCATTGATCCAAGGCTGGAGATCAATTCTATTTTTAACTTGGGTTTCCCGAATCCCTCTTTATAAATTAATAAGATATCTATTATTCTCTAGGGAAGTGTTGGCATAACATCCTTCTATTCTACTTGCCAAAGCAATGGAAAGTGGACTCATTCCAAGCTGGAATGTCAACGTATGTATCTATTTAAAATGGAATTCTTGTTTTTCTTCCTAAAGGTGATTGAAAATCAGCACATTTAAGACTTAAATGCATGGTTTTCTCTTAGGCTGGTGAGAAAATGAGTTTGGGTTTTTGAAGGGAAGCCAGTCACGGAATCCTAGCCCTGATCTGTCCCCAGGCCAGCCAGAGTAGCAGGTGTCTTCCAGAGAAAGGGGCTGTGACTTTTGTAGGGTTCATAGTGCCTTCTGGTTTATTCCTGGTTTCTGCAGGGACTGAAACTAACTGCTGAGGGCAGCTACCTCCTTGTGCCTCTCTAAGTTGGCAAGACTTAGTTGGCTGGGGAGTTGAGAATTTCCAGTTGAAAACAGGCTGCAGAGAGGCTAATGTGGGGGAGATTCACCCCAGATAAACTGACGGGTGTGGGGGTGGGGGAAGAACAAGACATGGAGGTGGAACTGGGTGGAGTAATTCTGGGAGGAAGTGGCTGTCCTAACCACATTTCTCTCCTCTTCCTCATGTAGCTGTGGACTGTGGCATGCCTGAAACTATTACAAATGGTCAATTTCAAGCTCCAGAAGATACAGCATTTGGTTCTGTCATTCATTACACTTGCAAGGAGCCATATTACTACATGGAAAATGAAGGAGATGGTAGGTTTCTTTACTCTTCCTGCAAGAAGAGCAGGAGAGTGTGTTGGAGAAGGAGAAGCACAATCTTTCTGGGTTGGAGAGAATTTGGAGAGAAATGAAGGAGGTAGAATCAACTGGGTACATCTTCTTGACTGAGTCTATAGACACAGTGTTCATACAGGGCAGGGTAGATTCTATAGGATCATCCATGGGGAATGTCCAAGGCTAGCTAACCCAACTCCACATCTGTGGCAGGAATTCCCTCTACATTTCCATTTCTATTTTTTATATATTTAAAAAATTTATTTATTTATGCATACAGAACTGGGGTACTGGCCAGAGGTGCAGGGGTGGTGAGAGGCTTCACCAGAGACAGTGGGGAGCAGAACAGGCCAACTGACGAAGTACACTGCTGAGGGGAGCAGCGGGCAGGCCAGGAGAGGTCTGCTGTGCCATGTGGTCACCTCAGGGGCCAGGGATCGAACTCGTGCTGAAGTGACTTTAGCTTCTTAGTGCTGTGCTTTAACCCGCTGCACCACCAGGGAGGGCCCCGTTTCCATTTCTTGATGGAGAGGCCTTAGTAGTGCCAGATGCAGGCCTATGAAACACAATATGTCCTATTTCACTGGTTTTAAATTTATTTAATTTGATTTATTTTCCCGCTTGAGGTGCTTTCCCAGTCTCTTAACCCTCTTTCTTCTGCTCTCCCTTCCCCTCCCTTGACAGGCTAGAAGTTAGAGGGCTGGTTTGAAGGATGTTTTCAAGATCCTAGTTGATCTGATTTAATCACCTCTCCAAATCGGGTGACTGTGTTCTATGTCCTTGCGCTGTTGCAGGAGAGTATCGCTGCTCTAAGGATGGGAGCTGGGTGAATGAGTTACTGGGCACAGAGCTGCCACGATGTGTTCCAGGTAACCAGGGCTCAAGCCTGGGGGGACACCATTGCCATAGGTGAGGGGAGGGGGTCACCCGAAGGGAGCTGCAATCTTCTTGGGAAAACATCTGTGAGCTAGAGACAATGCAGGGATTATGGACTTGCCAGGGACTTGGGGAAAAACCCTCAGCCACCTGAGTCTAGCTAACTGACAGGAAATGGGAGAGTCAGTCAGGTTTGCTAATGGAGATGTCCTAAGGGAACATGAAATTGCTGACACAAGCCCCAGAAGTTGAAAGTGAGGAATCAACACTCAGAAAGCAAGAAATAATGATGATCTCGATATGATATCAAAAGTCTGTGTGGCAAGAAGTTAAAAAAATAAAATAAATGGGAGGTTGCCGGCAGATCAGAGTTGCAGAGAAACCCTCAGGTAAAGACAGAATAGTAATAATGATCCTGGTTACTAACAGTATTACTGAGAGCTCAGAACTGAGATAATGAATTTACTTTATGATCTCACCCAAATCCTTGCAACAATGCTACAAGGCAGGTATTACTAGTTCCATTTCGTAGATGAGTGATTGAGCACAAGCTCGCAGGCAGTAAGGGGCAGGGGTAGGCTTTGAAACCACGTCTGCCTGAGAGAAAAGCCTGCGGTGCTTGACTCAGAGTCCAGTCAGGCTGACCAGTGAAGGGATTAGGAAAGTGAGGAATCAACACTCAGAAAGCAAGAAATAATGATAGTCTCATTATTAGATTAAAAGTCTGTGTGGCAAGAAGATAAAAAAATAAAATAAATGGGAGATTGCAGGCAAATCAGAGTTGCTGCCAGATCAAATTCAGTCTTGGTTATATTGCACAAGGGCAAAGCAATCAGCTCTGGAACCAGTCCATGGGATGAGCTAAAAGATGAAAGGAGAGAACACTCCTTTGGCTATAACTTCTTTAACTGGCCTGAGCATTACTGGAGGGGACTCTGCTGCCATCAGGAAATCAGTAAGCAAGATGATAAGGAAGCAGAACACTTGCTTCCTCCACCACTTAGAGCAGACAGGAGTTCTCCAGCGCTGGCTCCCAGTGGGTTTGCTGGCCCCATGGGCTGAGTCTGGGCCCAGGTGCCTCTGACTGGAGGGGCTGTGAGTGAAGGTGTCTACAGCGTGAGGCCGTGGCTCCTTTGACTCAAAACCACCCCCCCACACACACACTGTCTCCGTGTAACCAGCCTCTCCCAAGTCCCATGGTTGACCGAATAAAAGTTTCACTATATTGTGCTAGAGAACTCAGAGGCCCAGTAGCTTTTGAATGTTCAGAGGACTTGCAAGAGGCCAATAACCTATTTCCTGTCTCCCCCACCTTGTTTTTTTCCTTCTAGTCTGTGGCGTCCCCAGTAAGCCCTTTGTTGCAACACAGAGGATATTTGGAGGGTCCCCAGCAGACATTGAAAGTTTCCCCTGGCAAGTCTTTTTTACTAATCCGTGGGGTGGCGGGGCTCTCATTGATGAGAATTGGGTGCTGACAGCTGCCCACGTGGTAGAGGAAAACCATGACCCAGAAATGTATGTTGGGTCCACCTCTGTGGTCACCAGTATTCTGAAAAAGTCAGCCACGCTGCTCAAGCCTGAGCGTGTGATTATTCATCCGGGCTGGAAAGCCAAGTCTTCAGCAACGCGGACAAATTTTGATAATGACATTGCATTGATACAACTAAAAAACCCAGTGGAAATGGGATCCAAGATCTCCCCTATCTGCTTGCCAGGCAACTCCTCAGACTATGACCCTTCCCAGGGAGTGCTTGGACTGATCTCGGGCTGGGGCCGAACAGAGAAAAAGAAACAGCATATTACTCGTAAACTCTTGGGAGCAAAGTTACCCATAGTTCCCTTATCAAAGTGCCAGGAGGTGAAGGAGACAGACAATGGGATGGATCCAAAGAGCTTTGTTTATACTGATAACATGATCTGTGCTGGAGGAGAGCAGGGTGTTGATAGCTGTAGTGGGGACAGTGGTGGGGCCTTTGCCGTACAGGACCCCAACACAGAGAACACCAAATTCTATGTAGCTGGTCTGGTGTCCTGGGGCCCCAAGTGTGGGACTTATGGGCTCTACACACACGTGAAGAACTACATTGACTGGATAAGGAAAACTATGCAGGAAAACAGTGTCCCCAGTGAGGACTAATCTACATAGGTACCATCAGCCTCTCCAAGGCTATGGCCAATGTATTGTTTTTCGTTCCTTACAATATTTCCGTTTTTTCACCAAGACTGATTCTTGCGCTACCTGGCTTGGAGGGAGTGTTAGATGGTGACACTGTGTTGGTGATTTGATGTGGCCTCAATCTGTGGGGCTCCTCCTTGGAGACCCAGTATAGAGAACAACACATGCGAAGTGCCCTTTTGTTTCACACTATTTCTTTGGGGGAGGGGTCCCCTTTCCTGATTTTGCCTGGTTTTACATCCTTGACTCTAAACTTTATTGCTGGGTAGAGCCTTGATTTTTTTTTTTGTTCCCCTTTTATCTGTTCAAGATTCCATTTCCTTTATTATTCTGATGTGTCTACCACTTACTTATAATAAAACATGTTTATAAACCCGTTCTGGTTGACTGGGTCTATTCCACATCAAAACCTCGGTACCACAGAAAGGGCTCTTGTGTCATGGAAAGAAGGGTGTCTAGTAGCAAATACTTAATTGCCACAAAAACGGGGAATTCAGCTTCCTCTTCTCTTTCATCTGAGATTTGCTGACCATTGTGAGTTAACCTCAGCATTAACACAAGTCACCATATTCTGCTTTTGAAACTCAAACATACTTGAACCTCATTGAGAAATCCACACACAACGGTTAGAATGACTGTTTTAAAATCTTTCAGTGTACTTTTTTTGAGGCATAACTTGTTTCAATGTATCACTTGAAAATTAGTTTTCTCTAAATTTATACTCAGGTATATAATTCAATATCATGACTTAAAATAAAATCAGAAGAAATCCAACAGACTCTAGTCTTCTTTCCTGGTGGCTTTGGCCAATTTGTCAGACAACAGTGTGTCCCCTCTGTGCCAAAATTTACATAGAAGGTCCCAGAGAGAATGGACCCAGAGACTCTTCCTTCAATCCCCCCACCCCCAAAGACACAGGAAAACAACAACAACAAAAAACAAAAACAAACCAATAGCCGAACTACTTCTCCCAAAATGACTAGTGATCGAGTGACCACACAAAGTATTTTTTCAGCAGAGGACAGGAGAGCCTCTTGAGGTGTCAGTTGCTCTCACAAGGTGTCTTGTGAAGGCTGTGGGAGAGGAGCGGGATGGGGAGGTAAGAGTTCAGAAGACCTGTCTGATGCGACATGTGGTTTTCAGGGGCGAGTTTTTACTACTAGTAAAGGTGCTTTATTTGGGGTCCACTAAAAAAGAACTTTCTTCTTCCATAGACCAAAGGGTGAAACCAAAATTCAATAGTTGACCTTAGACTGGAGGGCAAACACGTGATGAAGTAGCCACGACTTTAGTGGAAGGATCTGGAGAATCGGGAATCACTGCAGAAAGCCTGTGGGAGGATGGTGTCAAGTGATCCAAGCAACACGAGCCACTCCTGGTATCCCTTGTTGGGTCCCTTGTAGCTGCCTCCCCCAACGGCCTGTTACATGTTACATGTTACATGTTACATGTACCAGGGAGTGGACTGTGCACCTTGGCCTACAGTGGTTTGGGCGTGTGAAGGGGGATTTATCTAGAGAAGAAAAATGAATTGGAAAAATATTAAGAAACATGATCGGTGAGTGTGGCATTTTCTGTCTTTTTTTTTTTTTTTAAATAATTGGAAACCTAACCTGGAAAAGATTAGACGTGCTAATAGAAATTCCACAAAATACCCGAATCAAAATACAAAAGTCATAAGATCATCTAACAAGGAAAGCCTGAAAAACTCATAGCAAAGAAAAACCTAAGAAGACATGATAACTAAATATAATTTAGCATCCTTGATGTAATTTCAGAACAGAGAAAGGACAGTAGAAGAAGCTAGAGAAATCTGAATAAAGCATGGACATTAGCAAGTAATGTGTTGGTACAGGTCTATTAATAATCAAAAGTGTAACAGTAATTTAAGATCTCAATATTAAATGAGTTTAGGTTTGGGGAAAACTGTGATATCTATACTTTTTTTATGTAGGTCTAAGATTTTCTAAAAAATAAAGTATATTCACATGTTTTCCTAAAAGAAAGAAATCTAACCTGAAACCCCACAAGTAAGAGAAGTTTTTCTCTGCCAGAGATTCTTCAGCCTATTTGTGTTCTGCTTTAATTAATGGGGTTGAGGGATGTGTGTGTGTGTTTTAAATAATACAATAGTTTATTTTTACATCATTTTGTACATTTTGGGATATGTTTTTTTAAAAATATAATAGTTTATTTTTACATCATTTCATTTTGTACATTTTTTTTCATCTCAATTGTTATCCCGTGGGCTTCCCATCGCCAAGTCACTCGTGTGCCATCACCATAGTCCCCGCCCCCCCGTTTTTGATCCCATTCCCCACTCCACCCCCATAAAATGTCTCTGTTATATGGCTGTTCATTATCCTTATTATTTCCCCCCCTGGTCCATTATACTTCTGCTATGAGCGAAACCATCGGTATTTTTCTTTTTCTTTCTGGCTTATCTCACTAAGCATGATCTTTTCCAGCTCCATCCAAGTTGCTGCAAAAGACATGTATTTCTTTTTGGGATATGGTTTTTAATGGTTAACAACTACAAGGTCATTTCCTGGGGTGAATGGCAAGGAGGGGTTTTAGATGCATCATCATCACACTTTAGAACTGGGACAGGGTCATCCTGAAAGCCTAGAAGGCTAGGAATTCATTTTTTGTGACTGAAAGGGTTTTAGCAAACTGCCTGGCAAGACACATGAGAACAACATGTGTTGGATTCACTTGCAATTAAAACAAACAAACAAACAAAAAACAAACCCCAAAACCAAAAACAACTCTTTAGGATGAAATCCTGCCATTTGTAACATGGCATGGATGGACCTAGAGAATGTTATGTTTAGAGAAATGTCAGAGGGAGAAATAAAAATACCAGGTGGGCCCTCCCTGG